CTTTTTATAACTGCACATTTCTTAGCAGATTTCAACCTTAATTTCTATTTCAATACAAAAGCTTTAATTTGTGCAAAAACTGTGCTGTCCAAATGAGTATCTACAAATACAAATTGTAGTATTAAATACAGCTCTTCTGTATGTGTGTGACASCCAATACCTTGCCTGTGCACTGCAGGCTCAAGACAAGGCATGAAATGAGCTGCTTATGAAATAAGGGGTCCCTACAATTTTACTTTGGCCTTGAAATGAGTTAAAGACCAGGAGAAAGGATTCTTCATAGCTATTTGGAAGGTATGAACCAGAAAAAGCCTGTGGGATGAGCTGTTTTGGCAAACAATTAGTTCCAAAATGATGGCAAAAAAAGAGGCACAATCAAGGAGCATCAGCATCTCTGGGAACTTGCAGTGGCCACAGTGGTCATTACAATTAAGAAATTTGGCTAAGCCCATGGGATCCTTTCAGCCTGTATTTGGGGCTTATATCAAACTTTTTGAGGGCTTGTATTGGCCMTCAGACTTCTGTGAGGAAAGAAAAACATACTGCCATGCTGGGTATCTGCAATGCTTGTGTCTATCTATCCCTGTTTGAATCTACAAGTTCTCCCTTCACACTCCTACAGAAGCTGAAAGAAAGAGCTTTTGGTTTAAAACTCATTAAAAGAGAGAACTTCATTTTTCTRTTCTCACTCAAGCAGCAGTGGCATTTTAACACTAAATGTGGTTSTGTTTTGTGAGCAATGTTCTGTTTCAGGACAGCACATAGAAAACAAATTGCCAAAACTCATTTAGAGACAGATGAAAGACTGCAAAACCTTTAATYAAAAAGTTTTACTGTCTTGGAAACATGCAGAATAGCACAGACACACTAATACCTTTCAGTGGAGCTTCGTGGACACACTCTAAACCTAAACTCTGGAAGYAATGCAGAACAGAGAGCTGTGAGAAGTGTTCAAAGCTCAGTAGTGGGATCATATAAATTAATGGATTTTAAAGCTAAGCAATGTTATTTTTAACCACCCAGTCTTAATCTCCTTTGTAACCACACAACTTCCTTGAGATTATTTTTGCTATAAGGATAATAAATGTGATTTAACTAYTTTTCTTTTAGAAAAACCTCTAATCACAGCTCGAGCAGTTCTGTGATGAACAGTCAGTTACAAGCCTTATTAGGTCATTCCAATTGCTAATTACCTTAGCTGTTGGAAATGTRTGGCTTATTTCCAAGCTGAATTTGCCTATCTGCCTCCTCCAGCCTTGGCATTTAGCTGCAAATTTGTCAGTTAAGAGCATCTACTGGCACACTTTTGGGGTTTGGCTGTGGTTTCTTATGAATGGTGATCAGGTCATCTCTTGGCTTTTAAGCTGTCAGAGACCTGTCCTGCAGAACRGGAATGATCAGCCAAACCCACAGCTGCATTTCTTCTGCTGCAATGGGTTGGAGGTAAATCTGTCACAGGCTACAGGCCTGACATGGGCAACTCACATGGCCCTTCACATAGCAGGGCTCATGAAAGCACGTATGAGTAGCCAAGTCTCTCTGCCCTCAGGAGACCACAGCCCTCTCACAGAACCAAAAATATGTCATGATGGCTGTTGTGGTAGATGAGGGTTGATGCTTCCAGCCAAGGAGYCTGGCAGAAAAGAGGATACCAGCCTCATTCTGTCAGCAGATGTGCTAGAAGAATGGAGGGAATGATCTGTGAATTCAAGTACTTTCTACTCCTTATGAGTCTTAACACTATATTCTGGACTTCCTATTAAAAAAAAAAAAAAAAAAAAAAAAAAAAAAAAAAAAAAAAAAAAAAAAAAAAAAA